GTACAATGCGGTGCCAATGATTTTTTTCATAATTGGCACCTGATGAAATTAAAGAAGGTATAGTCTTTGTTCTCAAAATGTTAACCACACTGACCAGTTTCCATTCCAGAAAATATGTGAAGGGGCTGTTGAAAGTTCAATTTGATGCTGTTTGCATAATTGTGTCTTGTTAATGTTGTCTTTCCTTTGGCAGATGTGAATGAGTGCGTGCAGGGACAGTTATGTGAACAGCCCCATAACTGTGAGAACACCCGGGGTAGCTACACATGTGGCTGTGATCCTGGGTACACACTGGACAGCAATGGCCTCAACTGTACTGGTAAGTCACATACTTGTATCATAATTACATTACAATACGTCAATCAAAATCCTTTTTTCCTGCATACATGTATCTGTAGTTTGGTAGTATTATTACAGTCTATGCAGCAAATCAAAACTTACAATGTAGGTGTACATACTGGTAAATGAATGATTATATAAACCCAGTACATGGACCAGTGCAAGTAGACATCAGAAATACCTGCACAGCTCCAGTTTTACCTGGCTGAAACCTGTATAAGGTATTCTTTCAAGCCCTGAAATGTATTAGAGCAATGTTATAATTGTAGTCTACCAAACTATAAAAGAGATCTTTGCAACAGAACTTTGTTGCAGCGTAACTGTCATCTAGTCCTAATTTTGTCAGGGAGCAATACTACGTAAAATTGTGTCTCCTTTTTTCTCTCTAGATATTGACGAGTGCAACCTGGACACAGATGACTGTGCAGATGAGGCAACATGTACCAACACAGAGGGCGGCTTCACTTGTACCTGTAATACTGGGTATACTGGCAATGGTACCCACTGTGCAGGTGATCTACCTTATACCCGGTACCTTTTTTGTAAAACATTTACTCCCATGCAAAGCATATTATATAAATAATTTCATCAGTTTGGCAAGAAGCTGTATTAAGACTGAAACATTGGAAGTGAAAACCCCTTGTTGCTGAATATACACATTTTCCCCCAAAGTAAAAAATCTTTTCCATGTAAACCTTAAATGAGAGCTAAATTGCATTATGTCTAAGCATAATAATTGTATACATCATTATTACTAATTCCTTTACTATCCTTTGTTTCAGATGTTGATGAATGTACGCTGAGTGCCTCCTGTGATAGCAATGCAGTATGCAACAACACTATCGGATCCTACACATGTGCATGCAAGACTGGCTATGAAGGTAGTGGGCGCCAATGTGAGGGTAAGTTGTATTTGTTGCCTTCGTCAGAAGGGTATGATTTCGGTTTGAGCCTAGTTGAGTAGGAGTATCGACATGTAGGTTGTGTGTTGATCTAAATGTGTTTTACAGATTGCGCCTGTACACAACTGCATAAGCAAGTAAGGGGCTCAAATGGTGGGGTATTCCCAAAGCAGCTCTGGAGTTACCGGACAAGACTACACCACCATAACATAATAACTTAAAAGGTTAAAAATAAAAACAGTATTTTTTTACATGGCGAAGACATGTGTTCCTCGAACTCTATTCGGTTAATGATATCCTTCCAAAACTGAAAGGTCTTTAAAAAAATCTTAGTAGAAATTAAGACTAAGTTGGACTGATTTTGTAGTACTTCTATCATGTAACCAATTTGTTATTATATTTTGTCTGACCCTGACCTTATCCCTCATAACGTCAATGTAAAGTAGGCAGCAGGCCCATTTCAGTATTACATGAATAAACAAAAATCGTAACAAAGTGTCTCTACTTTGTTCATCTTCTCCCATGGCAGACAGAGATGAGTGTGTGGACCCTGACACCTGCCACACAAATGCACGGTGTACCAACTCCATCGGCTCCTACAGCTGCAGCTGTAACCCTGGTTACCGTGGTGACGGGACAGTCTGCACCAATGTGGATGAGTGTGCAGAGTTACTGGACAACTGCCGTCGGGGGCTGGGGATCTGTACAGACAACCCTGGGTCATACAGCTGCGCGTGTAGGGATGGATATGTGGGGGATGGGATCACGTGCCAAGGTTTGTTACGTTTTTGGTGTTGCAAAACTATTCTTGAAAGTACACCTGATGAATGAAAAAGAAGAAAATTGTATGTTACATAAACTTGTGATACAGAGCAGAGTAGCTTCCAGTCTATACCCTGAAGACTTGTTGGTGAACAGTTTACTATAATAAGTGCTCGGTATATAAACCTGACAGGCTTTGAGTAGCAGGTAGCTGTTGGTGTGGAAAGCTGTTTTTTGCATAGAAATAGTACAACATGTGTCTGTCACTTGCCAAAGACATTTCTTCTACGAAATGTGGATGTTGTTATGATAGAAAATTACTGTATGTGGAGAACACTTGGTAAGACTAGTAAAGAGTAACAAAGGCATGATGTTTTTGTAATACTAATACAGTATTTAGATTAATCTTATTTCATGTTAACTCTTCAGATCTTGACGAGTGTTCGGATGATGCTCTGAACAGCTGCACCGAGAACGCGGATTGCACCAATACGGAGGGCTCTTATAACTGTCTGTGTACTGAAGGGTATGAAGGGAACGGTACAGTCAGTTGCACAGGTCAGTTGGGTGGTGATTCAATTCCCTTGTCAAATATTGGTAAGCATGGCAATTTGCGATACTGGTATTCTGCGCAGTAGTGGCATCGTATGGCCAAAGGGTTAGAATAGTGGGCACGAGATCGAGAGGTAACGGGTTCCATTCCTGCCAAGTGAACAATGGGAGGACATTGTGTCCTTGACAAAGGAATTTTTCTCACTTTACTTAGGTGGAGAAAGGGCTACAGTTGTACCTGACTTTGGTTGGGGAGGTAAAAGGCAGTGGAAGGAGAGGGATGGGCTCCACCTTTCAATACCGTGCCCTATAGACACAGTGGATTAACTACCTACATGTACAGCTGCAAAAACAGGACTATTGTTATGGGACTGTAATATAGTGTCTCACTAATAGTCCACTGGTTCAATAATAGAAAACTTTCTTTCAACTGTCTCATGCAGATGTGAACGAGTGTACAAGGGCTGTAGATAACTGTGCAGAAAATGCAACTTGCACCAACACCCCAGGATCTTACACTTGTAGGTGTGACCAAGGATTTGCTGGAAACGGGATACAGTGTGAAGGTAATAATAAACAGTTACATTTCTCTCGATAGATAAAAAAAGGTCGGAAAAATAGATTGCATCTTTCTTTTGGAAAGGAAGTGGTTGACCAATTATTATTCCCTTAACAAGATTCTTGGGTAGAAACATATTAGGCATTCTATATATTAACATTTAGTCTTACTAGTGATCACCTTGTAGGATTGCCATTAAACTAGAAAATGTATGGTCAAAGGAATGTATGATTTGGTAGACAACAGGAATAAGGAATCAATGATATACAACTTTCAACTTTCAACTTTATTTGTTTAACCAGGTATCACACTCAGGCCACTCTGGCCTGTTTTTCAGGAAATCCTGGTACAAAAGCACAGACAAACACCTAACAGTTAAACAGATTCACATACCTGCCATTTTAATTTTGCGTAAGTTGTCTGTGCGTAATATAAGCATATTAAATGAAAGTCCATCATTCTGTGTTATACATGTGTATGGAGCCAGAATGTATCAACTTAATGTTTGATTTTTTTATAACTGAAATTTTAAGTTGATGAATGGAATATCTTGTTACTGCAGATGTCGATGAATGTCTAAGGGGTGAAGATGACTGTGACATTGACACAAAGGCCGTCTGTACAAACCTGATTGGAAGCTTCAGTTGTGCATGCTACAATGGGTACCAAGGGGATGGTAGGCACTGCACAGGTAGGGACACACCAAGTTTTTGATTAAAAGCTATTTTCTGAAACAGTAGGTGGCTCTTTTATTGTACCAATGGGATCTTAGTCTTACTTCAATACATCAATTTGTAAAGGTGCCCAATGCAGTTTTAGGGCTTGAAGACATATTTTTCAAATGTTTAAGGCTGATTTTAGGGGTACCACCCAGAAAATAAAGTCACATATCTTGGAACCTGTTTCTGCACAGTTTTAAACACCTGAATTATGACGAATGTATGCAAATGTGCTTATTTGGGGCAGTATGTGTCGATATCATACAGATTTTCTTATTCAGAATATTCCAGTTTTGCCGCCCAGAAATTGCATTGGATGCCTGTAACAAGTATTGTGGGCTGTGTCCTTGGTGCTGAAACATTGGTTAAATGTTGTGCAATCATCGGAAAGTTCCTTTTTTGCCAACAAAAACAGTTGTATTTAGTTTAAAGTCTCTGCTTGTAAATGGCATGTCTGTAAGAAAACACATACAGGTAAGTGAAGTCTGATGATGATTTAAAGTTTGATAGTATTTGTACCTGTTGAGAATATTCCATTTTTTTGCCCTGAAACTGTTTATTATTTCCCGAAAAAGCAGATACTATGTAATTCCTCTACTGTAAATATAGGGGTCTAAAGGATTTTAGGAAAAATGCAAATTTTAAAATGAACGTTGTCAGAAAAATGCTACATTACAATTTGATTATCTTACCGTTTCATCTACAGATATAGATGAGTGCCTGACTGTCAATGGCAATTGCGCTGCCAACTGCAACAACACAGAGGGAAGTTATTTCTGTACCTGTGGGAGTGGATACAGGCTGGCTGTAGATGGTTTCAACTGTGATGGTAAAAGCATTGAATTTCATTAAACTTTGTAGTCTTCACTGTTCAAGGAACAAACACAATGGATAAGTGGCCACCCTAGCGAGTTTGCAAACTTGTAGACAGCTGCACTATAGTGCCACATACTATTGTTGATCCCACAAGTTATGCTCAAATATTTTGACATGTTTTTCATAAAGACAAATCAAATATACATTTCGTTGGGCTTCTGGATGAAGGTTACTAATATCTAAAATACAAAATGACAGTGAAAGGACATACAACGGGTGAACATTATGTCAGCTTAATGTAAAATTGCAAGTGCATGTAGGTAGTGACTTTTTGCAAGTTGACAATTCTGATCCTGCCAAATCTATTGCTATAGATGTCAATGAATGTGTGGAACAACTGGATGACTGTGAACAAGTCTGCACCAACACAGACGGTGGATTCAACTGCTCCTGCGCTCCTGGATTCACTCAAGTTGGCGACTCCTGTCGAGGTCAGAAGCATACTATTTCTCTGAAACTTCCTTAAAGACGAAACAAAAATTGGGATGTTAATGTAACGTTAACTAGAATTAGTATTATCTGAAAATTTTGTGTGGTTATCTAAAATCACATTTTCAGTAAGTTTATTTAGATGATTGTCCATTCATATCATCCCAATAGACAGTACAGTAGGGCCAAGATACTACACCCTACACCACTGTGTTTTGTCCATATAATGTGATTATAACCTGCACATTTGCACATTTCAGCTTCTGAAAACTGCACCAGGACTGTTTGCACAAATGCAGATTGCTTTGTGCAGAATGGGACTGAGAGGTGCCTGTGCTTTTCTGGCTACAACGTCACCAACAATGCTACAGTTTGCACTGGTAAGCAGGGTGATAGCTTTTCAGCACCAAGGAGAGTATCCCATCTTTGTAATGCTAAAGGTTATGTAGAATAAGAATTGGAGCAATGTTTAGTGTTTATTCTTGCACAAAACAAGCAAATCAGCAAGTGTCATGAGCGTAGAGGTGCGTTGTAATATATATATATTTTGTTTGTACATTTAGACATCGTGATACGTTTCAAATGATGTGACATAGAAAATTTGTTTTACTTGTGTTATTTTTTCTATGTTATCTACGCTGAATAATATAGGTGCACGGAAGTGATACAGATGTGTATAAAATTATGTACTTTTTATTACTTTAGACATCGATGAATGTTCAAGTGTCACCCTGAATGCCTGTGACCAGTTGTGCAACAACACAGACGGAGGTTACACGTGTGGTTGCAGAAGTGGCTACATGCTTGGTGCTGATGGTCGAACATGTACTGGTAAGTACTTACATGGTAACATTCCCCAATATGCAAACAACATTCCCCAATTTGCAAACAACATTCCCCAATATGCAAATGACAACAACTGAAATGATATTTTTTACTTGTATGCAATGTTTTTCAAAAGGTTTTTCTATTGGGGAAAGGTTTCTCACTCTAGCTTTCTTTTCTCGGTTGGACTGTATGAATTGAATCACTGGCATGATACATACAGATGATCCTATTTTTGTATGTTTTATTACCAGTTCAGCAGTAATTTCTTTTTGACATTTGGCAGATGTTGACGAGTGTGCAGACAATAGTCTGAATGACTGTGACCCCAACGCCCTATGCAACAACAACGATGGAGGATTCACCTGTAGCTGCAGGCAGGGCTATACTGGCAATGGAACATTCTGCGAAGGTATGTAAACATTTCCAAAGCATTATAGGTACAAGCCCAAAATACATTTACCTAGCACTTGGCTTAGGGTTAGGGTTAGGTGTGCCGAAAGCTAGTTCTTTGTAGCAACAAGAACCACATTGGCAGCCTAGAAGCTCCTGTCTTGCATAGCCTTCTTCTTTATTGCAAGTTCATGGCCAGGGCTATGTTATTGCAAACTGACTAGGACAATAATGGAAGAATGGTATGAAATCATGTGCTAACATTAAATTCTACTTCTACTCATCTAAGTGCCTACTGTGTATGTTCCACCCAGTTGGTTTGAAATTGCAAGCATCAGGTCTTGATGATATCTGTGTTCAAAGATGATTTCAAAGTTTGTTAAGTATTGATATTGTTCAAAGATGATTTCAAAGTTTGTTAAGTATTGATATTGTTCAAAGATGATTTCAAAGTTTGTCATGTATTGATGTCCTCCCAGACATCGATGAGTGCACATTTGGCAGTCAGACACAGAACTGCAGTGAGGATGCCCGGTGTGTCAACTTCGACGGCGGGTTCAACTGCACCTGTCAGGACGGGTATACTGGAGATGGCTTCTTCTGTGCCGGTAAGGTCTTCTCTGCCTTCTTCCTTCATTTCTAAGGACTAAGGAAGCATTATTTATACTCACTCATGTTCAAAGCTTAGATTTTTCAAGAAGCATACACACAACTAGACATATCATTCTATAATATATATACATTGTAGATATGACGTTCTGTCTGGCAAAAATAGATAATAGAAACTGATAGATAGCTACACATAAACATCAACTGTTTTCTGCAAACACTTCACACATTCTATTTTGAAACAGTATAGTTTAAAGTTCACTTAGTGAACTCCAACAGATATATTACATGAGATATGACATTCTGCTATAAAAGGCAGATAATGTCAACTGTTGAGTTTTCCCCAAACCTTTCAAAATTTTTTATGTTTGGTGTTGTTTTCCATAGATGTGGATGAGTGTTCCGATGGTTTCTTCAAACTGCCATTGAGCAAGCAATATGTACAAATGTCATCGGCAGCTTTGAATGTACCTGCAAACCTGGGTACAACGGCACTGGAACAGTATGTGAAGGTACATGAAATACATTGTACATTATTTAAACTTTTCCCCAATTCACAAATGCATGACACTTCCAGTACCATACTACAGTCACCTTTATAAGAACATAATTTTGAAATATATGTATTTATGATGCATTAGCATGGATAATTTTAACAGCTAGCATCAAAATTAATTTGGATCATGAAAGAATTCCTGAAATTATTTCCTTAACTTACTAACATGATCAAGAGTTTTGTTTCAATGACTGTGTATTTGTGGTTTCTTTCTTGTATCAGACATCGATGAATGTAGAAATGGAACGAGCCAGTGTGATGGGAATGCAACTTGCACCAACAACGTTGGATCCTACACCTGTACATGTAATGATGGTTACACTGGTACAGGGAGAGCATGTACAGGTAAGTGATGTCCTCGTCTACAATGTTTTATGTATGATATTTTTTTATTTGAAGCAACTGAAGATATACACTTTACAGTTCAAGATACATTATTGTTCAGTCACATTAAAAAAAAGAATGTATGTTTTGAATAGTTTGTGACAAAATTGTTGAAACACAGCTATATGCAATGCAAACAAAGTATGCTGGCATGTCTAGCTTCTTTGAATAATTACTGGCAATTGGATTCATCTGTTATCTCTAAACTAACCATGGTTATGAAACATATGAAACTTTTTGTCCCCATTGACGAAAGATGTAACAGAAAAGTGGTAATTGAAAGAAATAATCGTTGAATGCTATTGTGTCCGTTTCCGTTGAATTTGGAAATGTTAAATAAGACACTTTGCTCCCAGATGTGGATGAGTGTTTAAGTGGACAAGATGACTGTCATGAAGAGGCATCATGCAGCAACACAGAGGGCAGCTATGCATGTACCTGCAATGATGGTTATGTTGGCAATGGGACGTACTGCGAAGGTAGGCCGGGGCTTGTACAATGTATTTCTCATGCATTAGAAAGTTTCTGAAGATAACATAAACTCAGCCACATGCTTCTGATTTGTTGCAAATAGCAGCAACTCCACACTTTTCATCAAATCTTCCAAAGTTTTATATGGCTGAAAAAATATGTAGAGTATGGATTCAAATTGCAACTTAACTACCACTAAAATACAACAAAATTATGATGTTACACGTTTTACCACTCCCGAAAGATTAATTAGCCATCCATGTTTGCAAACGATAGCACATACAGAAAAGCCTTTCGTTGGCAAAAAATCCTAATGACACTGATGCTAATGACTCCCTTTGCTTACCCTTTATCGATCAGATAAAGATGAGTGTACACAAGGCACAGACACCTGCACAGAAAACTCTGTGTGTACGAACACCATTGGTTCCTTCACTTGTCCCTGTAAGTCTGGTTACTTCGGGAGTGACTGTGTGGATGTTCTTGAGTGTGAGGGCGATATTGACAACTGTGACGACAACGCAGACTGTACGAACACACCTGGCTCCTTCAACTGCACCTGTCATTCGGGTTACCATGGAAATGGAACTGTCTGTACAGGTGAGACAAGTTTTCAATAGTAATGATACAACATTTGCTGGGAACACCTGCTCGGTCTTGAAAACAATATTGAACGTTCTAAGTAACAGTTGATACGATTCAAGTATGGAATGGATTGTAGGCATTTAACTGGTGTGTTTATGGTTAACTATTGTGCCGGATATCTTCAAACAGGTTTAAATGTATCAACGTCATAAGGTTACAGTGTTCGAAATACCTGTCTGCAGTCTGGAATCTGCAGATAGATTTTCAAGATTGCTGAAGAAAAATTTGTACAATCTGCAATTTTGCAGAAGGAAAAATAGGCTCCAGATTCAATAGTTTTCAAGTTAACAAACTAGAACTCTCTGGCCCCAAGGACAGACAACACTTAAGCTCCTATTTTGTTTTTTCAGATATTAATGAATGTGAAAGCGGAATTCATCAGTGTGATGGAAATGCAAATTGCACCAACACTGCTGGCTCCTACACCTGCACATGTAATGATGGTTATGAAGGTACAGGGAGAAGCTGTGCAGGTAAGCAATCCTTACATCATTCTGAAATCATGACTGATTCTTTTGTATAATACATATTGTAGTCACACATATTCTCTGCGCATTGGTCAGACGTTTATAATGCATTTCTTTCTAGACCCTCTCCTCATATGTAAAGAAAGTAACATCAACAAAAACAAGGTGGCAACATATAAAAAAAATTTAACATCACGATCCGGTCAAGTAAAACGAGCCTTGTTATATATAGTTGATATCTATCTATGATTTGCAGAGGATTCTTGACGATATTACACATATGACTTGACGATATGTAAGTCTATTACAGACACAGCTATTGTCAAATGAACATGACATGGATCTTAATTACTAAATTGCTTGCCTTTCCTCAGATGTAGATGAGTGTGCGACCAACACTGACAACTGTGATGACAATGCTAACTGTACGAACACCCTGGGCTCCTTCAGTTGTACCTGTCATAGTGGCTACATTGGAAATGGCATAGTTTGTACAGGTGAGACAAGTTCAGGCTTACACAATGTAAAGCTTATGTGGTGAAGAGAATTTCCATATCGTGCAGGATTTGTGTCTTATCTTGGATATGTTTATCTACTTAATATTAATTTTGTATCAGATTCTCTAATTTACGTCAGAGTCTCTGTGCTTTTGTGGGTCAGCATCACCAGCTAAGTCAGTCTGCACTGACCCAAGTATCATTTCCAATTGATACAAAATAACACATACACAAAATTTAATACAATTTCCAAATTATGTAACCTTTCATATACAGCACAGATTATAAAATCTTGGCGAAGATAGATAATCACAAAATGGAACAGAATATTAAATAGATTTTTTCATAATACATAGCAATTGCAGTGACAACAGAAAGCACAACAACCCCAATGTCACCAACAGAAAACACAACAACTCCAGTGTCACCAACAGGAAGAACAACTTCAATGTCACCAACAGAAAGAACAACTCCAATGTCACCAACAGAAAATACAACAACCTCAATGTCACCAACAGAAAGAACAACTCCAATGTCACCAACAGAAAATACAACAACCTCAATGTCACCAACAGAAAACACAACAACCCCAATGTCACCAACAGAAAACACAACAACTCCAATGTCACCAACAGAAAACACAACTCCAATGTCACCAACAGAAAGAACAACTCCAATGTCACCAACAGAAAACACAACAACCCAAATGTCACCAACAGAAAATACAACAACCCCAACGACTCCAACAGAAAACAC